CTGTCACAAAAGGTTTTCTAGGATGAACAATCATGATTTATTTGCTTGTATGAGACTAGTGTCACTTGTGCAGTAAGCATTGTCTTTAAATAGGGAATGAAAGAGAATCAATAGCCTTTTATAGACCCTCCAATGAAAATAGCTGCTGAGAAAATGAGATTGGTAAGGAAGTGGACGCTTGGGGAAGATGACGATCGTATTAAGTTTGAAATTTAATTACATGGGTTTGGGTTTTGGATGTTAACAAGTTACAGGTTAAAGGATTGTCGGTTTGGTTAAATAACTAAGATATAATCGTCCAACTAGTAAAAAAATTTAAACTCAGTAGAATATTCCCTCTCCGTCTTAACAAATTGTTAAGGGGTTTTATTTCAAAATAAGATCGAATGCAAGTAGAACCCTGAAGTTTGCACAGATAGACTCCTATATTTTTTCCGCTAGTGCAGTTCAAGGTTTTAAATATCAGTTATTAGAAATATATCGCATGACCAAAATTTATATTGGATTGCAGCTATTAGGATATGTCAGAGATAAGTAGTAAATCGGAGTGTCATATTGAATGGTGGGCGTATATAATATAATATTATAAAATGTAATCTAAGCACATTTAACAAAATGTAAACATACAAAAATATAAATAAGACTTGTTTAGGATCTACAATAATCAAGGGTCCTCGATTGAGAACTAAGGAGCTTTGAAAGAGGGTCATCGAGCTTCGAGAGAGGTCTTCGATAGAGTTATTCGAGTGAGAAATGTACGAGCGATTTAGGAGGGAGAACGGTGGAGGGGGAGGGAAATTAAGGTTACGCGATGAATGAATGTGGAGTAGAACAGGATATCACTGATTTTGTTTTACCAGAAGTGGGTTAGGTATGGAAAAAGAGGATTTTTGTCTCCAAAGGTAATTATGTTCACTTAGAATGTAAATTTTAGAAAATCGGGCAAAATTTTAATCCATGAGAAATCAGCCGTTTTATTGGATTTACATTGATATATCGGGACAAACTGACCAAAATGATATGATAATTTTTTGCAGAAATCATATCGGTCATGACCTAAACTCGATATGTCGGTGATAAATCTATAAATCAGCTGATTTTAAAAACACTAGTGCGATAGACTTATCAAATGAATTCCTTGTACTATTATAAAAATGGATTGGAATATTAAAACATTTATACAACTGCACTCCAATCTGCAATAAAATACACACATGCATACATAAAAACACATTTATACATACATGGAGACATATACATACCTAATATTAACATAAGAGAATTAATGGCAGAATCCATCAAGAAATCAAAAGCCTTTATACTCTATAAATCTTAACCCCCATATAATTTCACCATGAATTAGATTTATTATATTTTATAGCCTTTCATTAACACATTAATTTTCTACATTTCCTTTCACATTAATCTCCTACACTCCCTTTTTATTCTCACTAATTATCACTGCAAATGTTAATAGCTGATATCAAACAATAAATGAAAGAAAGTATCAGATTATGGGAGGTCATCTAACCTTCCGAATGTTTGGTTTTGAGGTATGTTGTTCTTCCATGCACAGGTAGAAAGTCGTAAGAGGGCAGAGTTAGGCTCTCCGGTTGTTCCTCTGACGATCAAGTTAGTAATTTGTTTGAGTGAAGAAGTAAGTGAACTGTAGAAGTTTTTATGTACTGTGAGTAGAGATAAATATCTTATCTTTATGCTGAAAATAATAACCATATTTATAGTGGTTGTAGAGGGGCAGGATGGTAACTTCGACCAGTTATGAGCTGGCGGCCAAGTTAGCATATGCTTTACAGGTGTCGGTCGATGAGTGGAGGGGATGTCACTTTCGCATTTAATGTGAAGTGACTGGGGGTGTGTGGCGCTGACGTGGTTTGATGTGTCATAAAGAATATTAAGGTCAGAGGAATGATGGTGTCAATCATGCATTTAATGGCATTTATTGTGAGTTGATCAGCTGTCAGTGCGCGGGAGGGCCTTGAGGCTCGAGGTAGTCGTCACCTTTCTACTCGTCCGATAAAAGGTCGAGAAGTACCACCTTTTGAGTCACCTTCGCGATGTCGGCCGAATGGTCGGTCGAGTAGGTTGATCAAGAAGTTGACCTAGCTAGGGGTCGACATATAACTTCTTTTGAGTCGCTCTCGCGAGATGTCGGTATGTCGAGTCATCCGAACTTGGTCTTTGGTTACCTTAAAGTAAAGAGCTAGCCCGATTACGTATAATGTAAAACAATTATTTGCTATTGATTGGAGATTGCTTTTTAGCACTAAAATAGTTATAACAAGAACAATCATTAAAAAAGATACCTTACAATCATTCATCTTCCTACTTACCGCTATGAATAACAACTAATCTATACTACTTATAACAGAGAACACCCATGTCAAAACTTTTGCTTTCCTTTTTTACCCTCTTAATTTTTTTTATAACTCACAATTATATCATTATGTATAAAGCTAATGATCCATAACCTCTCATTAACTATACACCTCTTTATTTTCTCAAATTATTTCATCATTCACTAGAATATATTAATAATTTATAATGATAACAAAATTCATAAATATATAATAATTTATTATAAAGAATTATTAATTATATAAAATAGTAAAAATTATCTATTTAATATATTATTGTACATAATTATAATTACTAATAATAGTATAAATAGGATTATATCTTTTTGCTGTAAAAATATTACCTTGTTTCGATAATTAATATCATCTTAGTAATAAAAATTTGGACGTTATAAATTAAAAATATTTTTATGTTGGAAAATTAATTTATATAAAAATATTTGGATCCTTGAAATTTATGAGACATATATTTTCCTCTTCTTTTTCCCAAAAATATTTGGTCATTCACTAGAATATATTAATAATTTATCTTAAAATTTATGAGACATATACTTTCCTCTTCTTTTTCCCAAAAATATTTGGTCATTCACTAGAATATATTAATAATTTATAATGATAGTAAATTAGTAAATATATTATAATTCATTATAAAGAATTATTAATTATAATGAAATAGTAAAATTATTTATTTAATAAATTATTGTATATAATTATAACTATTAATGATAGTACAAATAAGGATTGATTCTTTATATTATAAGCAGCATAACCTTTTTGAACATTATAGTATCATCTTAGTAATAAAAATTAGATGTTATAAATTAAAAATACTTTTATTTAGGAAAAATACTTTATATAAAAATATTATATCCTTAGAATTTATGAGACATGTACTTTTTGCTGGAAAGTAAATATCTCATAAATTTCAAGGATCCAATAATTTATATAAAGTATTTTTCCTAAATAATAGTATTTTTAATTTATATCATCCAATTTTTTATTGCTAAGATAATATTAATTATCAAACAAGGTAATATTATTTACAATTGTTGATGTTAAGTGATCACACAATCAATTAAAATGGTGGTTG